CTCTCTCTCCTCACCCACCTGCGTACACTTCACTGAAATTAAGTCTAGCCTGAACACTTGTGGAGAGTGAGTCACACATACACACACACACACACACACACATACACGGTTCACAGCTGCGTCAATTTACCACTTCATCATCTCACTCCTTCCCCCTTTTTTCCTCCTTCCTCCCCACAAACCCCTTCCCCCCTTTCCTCCCCCCAACTAACCAAAGTTTAGACTCACACGCTGGTGCTAAATGAACGTATCTAAAGTCTTGGGGGAACCTTGACGCCATATTGAATGTTTTTTCGTGTGTGTGTGTGTAAAGACGTCATTTATGGAGTGTTTATGAGGCAAAAATACACATGTAATTTTGTATGAGGTGAAGTGCTAAGGAGTTTTAGACCCATAGAGATACACACACACACACACACCCACCCCAATATCGTGCTAACTTTAATCCTCCCCAATTTACCTCCGTACACCTGACCTGGATCCACACCTGTGACCATCCATCTATCAATATCAATCTATCTGTCTGTCTATCTATCTACCCATCCAGCCATCCATTTACCTATATCTCTATACTATCTACAGTATATATTCATCCAGCCATCTATTCATCCGTCCATCCATCCATCCATCCACCCATCCATATATCTATGTATATCCGTCTAGCTGTCCATCTGCATCTATCTATCTATCTATCTTCTATCTATCTATCCATTCATTTATCTATACATCCAACTATCAATCCATCCATATATCTATCTATCTATGACAGCCTTTTCAAGCACTACAACCTCCTGATAAACACTCATTCAATTTTTGTGTATAAATGTCTACACCACTTACTAATTACATTACTCCCTCATATATTATAAACTTTATATTCAATCTTTAGATAATTTCATATTAAAATCATTACTAGGCTTTTAAGTTTTCCATGTTTTTGTAATTTTTTTTTTATCTCCCAGTCAGTGTTTCATGTCAGTTCCATCATTATTGACTATTTGGTGGGATAAACACTTTAGGTGAACTTTTAAAGGGTTTCCATATTTTAGGGAAATTTTAAGTGTTCCATCTTTATTGACTATTTGGTGGGATAAACACTTTAGGTGAACTTTTAAAGGGTTTCCATATTTTAGGGAAATTTGATATGTTCCAATAACATTGACGGTTTAGCAGAATAAACACTCATTACGTATTAAAAGCCGCTGAGTTGACAGTCTCCCTCACATGCCAAACACTCACACAAGTTATTAGTTGCATTAACACTTTTATCAGCGCTCCTTGTCGGCAAGATTATAATTAATAATGGGTGTTTTATCATTAATGTTTTGTATATTATTAATTACGTTGATTACAATTGTGTTCAGATTCCTTGGACACTTGGCAATATCTGGCAATTGTGGGTCATAAATGTAATTACTGTATATATATATAAATCATAACAAAACTAGAAATGGTAAATTATCAAATACAAATATTTCCTCTACAAAATAATTCTTTCTTTAAGTGCTTCAAGATTCTCGAATGGATGACATGAATAAAAAAAATAAATGTAGATAGTTCATTATTGTATTTAAATCAAGTAATAAGTGATGTAAATAATACATTTCATGAAATTTTGTCCACCAATCATCCCTTAGGCGGACATTACCGTTGTAAATGAACTTAATGGCGCACATTTGTAAATTTTTCAATATACAGAGGTTGAGTGAGAGAATAAAGGCATAACGAAGATTTGTGAGTGAGAACTGAGAATGAGGGAACAAAGAGAGTGATAACGGGGGATAAGAAAACACAGGGATGAAGAACCGTCAGGTAGAAAGTAAAATTAATGGCAAGAGGAAGAAAAAAAAAAGCGGGAAAGTGTAATTAAACATGGAATTACCAACACGGGATAGCACTCGCCCCCTTCTGCAGTTTGAGATAGATGCCTGAAGAGACTAACACTAAAGCTGAAATAAAGATAAAAGCAGAAGACAAGAGAAGGGTGGATAATGGAAATATTTATTGTCGGCCATGAAGCGCTCGGGAAGGGCGGTAGACAAAGGAATGGATGACGGCGCGCGCCACCCTGAGTGCTGATATTAAATGGTGTCAATCCCTCCCTCCCTCCCTTTCCTTCCCTCCATGAAACCCGGCCTGAAGGTGGGGGAAATTATGAGCGTTATAGGGAAATAAATGGGTGAAAAAAATTATATAAATCTTGAAGGGCAGAGGTTAGCAGGACGAATTATGTGAAACGGGATTTTTTTTAATGAAAATTTTTTGGCACGATGCTTTTATTTTTCTATTTTTTTAATATTGATTCTTGTGGAAATTATATCTTTAATGAAGTGTTTAATTATCCTGGCAGTTGAAGTCCAAATTTAAATGAGTGTCAGTTACAACATCCCAATAAAACCAAAGAAATAATAAATATCAACAACCTGAATTTTTTTAATGGAATAAAATAAATAGAAAGATAAGAAAATTTTAAAGGAGATAAGGGAGGAGAGAAATTAACTCACACTATGAATGTATACGTTATAATAGGGTATCTGAATTTCTATCTTGCCGTAACTTAATTTTTACCTCAAACTATCCTGTGTTGTACTTCTTGTGTGGTATTTTCCTAACAACATCTAGAGTTGCACATTTTTTTACATTTAATTAAATTTATTCATTAAATATCATAGCTGTCAGAAATCAATCAAGGAATATTGTATAACGCTCAGCTAACAAACCAATACGTAATATACATTCATTAACATTCTGTAGCGTTTTTTGTGTATAATTCTCTACTTCCATTTGACGGATTGAGGAAGAAGAGGTGGAGGAAGAAGGGGGGGGGGTATTCACAGCGTCCCCTCAGTCGGGGTTTGAAAGCGATTTTTTTGTGACAGTTCCATTAATTATAAAATCTGAAATATCAAAATCCGTCTTGCCTGGTGCTCAAACGTCCTCTGAAACGCTCATTAAAGTCATTGTTTCCGAGTCTGGGCCATTAACAAGCTCAATACTAAGTGCAATGTGAGTGCATCATACGCTGAACGTTTTTAAAGGTAAAATTATATTGTATAATGTGTTTTAAAAAATCAAACTCGATCTTCTCTCAGTATAATTTTTACCAATACCATATAAGCTTTCGGATCACCTAAAGATTAACCACCCTACCTTATTTTTACCTAAGTTTATACACCCTTTTTCTACCGGGGGGTTAGATTAGATTAGATTGGTGAAGGTTAGGTTGGGTTTAGTTACGGTTAGGTTAAATTAAGTTAGGTTAGCTATAGAATGGGGTGTCTAATCTTCAGGTGAGGCAAACTTTACGGTGGAGTTTTAACCAAGATAGGCTACACCGCACGTGGTTTTGCCTCCCGAGGTCATTAATCAGCTGTGGAGAGTCAGGGGGGTGTAGTGTCAGTGACTAGTGGTGACTGTAGATTAGACTGAAGCTACAGACTGTGATACTGTCATAAAATAGTCCTGCATGACTCATAAAATAGCCCTGCATGACTCATAAAATAGTCCTGCATGACTCATAAAATAGCCCTGCATGACTCATAAAATAGTCCTGCATTACCTGTAACATAGCCCTGTACGATTCTTAAAATAGCCCTGCATTACATATAAGTACCCCTGCATGACTCATAAAATAGCCCTGCATGACTGTCATAAAATTGCCATGCATGACAGACTGAACATGTTGCAATGGTAAATCACAATACATATAGAGCATTAGAGCTGTATCTGTATATCCTGGGTGTATTTGTACAGTATAAACCAATTTTACCATATGGGAAAACTCATCAGAATACACAATACAATGGTAACTGCAAGGAATTAATTTTGTTCTTAATCCAATAAGAATTATACCTATCTTGTCTTATCAGGTCAGAAGTCGGAATTATGTGTAAAGTTGTATCGTTTATGCGTATCCTCAAGAATTCGGTATTTTCAACCATTTTTTGTCAATTTCTACTGCGCCAATTTAGGATTTTATAGTTTTGTTGTAATTTTGACTTTTCTTTCTCTATCAGCCTCTCGAATAATTTTCCTTTGCATACTAGAAATTGTGATATACTGTTATGTGTGTGTGTGTGTGTGTGTGTGTGTGTGTGTGGAAGTATTTCATAGTTATTATTTGAACAGTTTTCCCTCACTTTCTACACTTCTCTTGCACCCTTCCTCCCCGGAGCACCCTTCACAAAACTGGGAGAAAAGTAAAAATATTAAATTGGTTTAGAAATCAGATGTACAAAGCTGACAACATATTACTAGTGCAGTGGTGGCACGGGGGCAATTTCCTCCACTCCCAGAAAACTTGGATTTTTAGATACAGTTAATGCATTTTCGTAGCATTTAGGAGAGCATTTACCATTATGTCAAGATGTAAATGCACGTTAATGGCAGCATTTTTGAGACCACCACATTTTGTTTTTATGTTATGAAGGAATGTGAACTTGTCTACTGAAAGCCATGCAGTTTAGTGTTTTTTTTTTAATCTAAAATTGAAATTCATATGGAAGGATCATTAATGTGTTAGTGTGAGATATGTGTTACATTACAAGTGGGAATTATGTGCTCCTAGTCGCAGGTCTCATTAGAAAATCACAAGCAGACATTTGTTACCCCAAAATGTATGCTAGACCAGGCACGTTGTTGTCGGTTTCATCATTATTTCCTCATTTTGTAATTCACTGATATAATTTACATGAACTCAATTTTGTCTTCCTTCATTGTTTTTTCAAGATGTCACCATGTACTGTCACTGAATAACCTTTCTCTTTACAATATTACTATAACATATTAGTCATGTTTACCGTTTATATATTGTCACTGAGACTAATTACTTGGCGTTTTACAAATATCAACATTTCTTCTGTCAATTCTTATCATATTGAATTTATAGTCAAAATATTGTTTCAGCCATGATATTGGGTATAATCTTTCCTCTCTGTTAGTATGTAAGATTAGACCAAAGATGATGTGCCCACAACATTCTGCTATGCATGAACCAACATTGAAAGTGTCATTTTCTTCCACAGGGCCAGACTGGGCTAGGCATCATGATCATTGAGGGTAAACATGCAGAGTATGGCAATGGTATTTTCATCTCCGACCTACAGGAAGGATCTGTTGCTGCAGAGGTAAGGTCCATCTCAAGTTTTCTTGGCTTTTCTGACCTAGGAAATCAATAATTTTTAAGCAACTACTTGGTAAAGATGTAAAAAAGGGGTACCGTTCTCTCATAAATATTTTTACTTGATTTCTCTTCAGATTTTCATTTATTGATAGAATGTAAATGTAGCAAGTGGGGAGCAAGGAAAAAAAATATTTAATTTTCCACGAAGGGATGTGATAGTGTTTCAATAGAACCCTCTCAGGGAGACAAGGAGCTACGGTATATTAGTTCTGACAGAAGACATTACAAACCAGTACAGTACAGTACAGTACAGTAATCTATGATCAATAGGTTACGTTTGGTTGGTTCATGTCAAATGCTTTCAGTGGTGAGTGAGCTTTGTAGGCAAGAGTTTTTTCTCTCACAAATTTGCATCTTTTTTTTGGCCTTTGCTCCCCATCAGAAATGTGTTCATTGCAGTAAGAGAAACAAATTGGTAAAGGTCCCATAAAACATCCCCCAGTAATGCAATGATGTGCCTTTGTACACCATTCTCCTGAACAACAGTGGTAAGTTAAGCAGACTCTTAAATTTCAGCCAATATGTACAGTACCGTATTAGTTGTTCCTTGTGGCAGTTTTAATTTTTGTCTCATTATGAAATGACATAAAGGCCTCACATATCACCCAGTTGTCTTACAAAAGTGTAGATGTAAATCTTGCAGAAACACTATACTGTTTGAAATTGCTTTCAGTGAAATTTGTTAGGATTTTCATAAGGGAGGAAAGGTCTCACTTGAGTATTTGTATGAACAGTGAGTTGTTTTATGTGATCATACTAACAACATGACTTCATCTATGACAAGTTATGGTTGTACTGTAGTAAGTTAACATTGACTTCTACTGCATCTGATACAGGTATCTGTACAATTGGAATGTTATAGGGATGAGCTGCAATTTTATTTTTATTTTTATTTTATTTATTGTACGGGGATTAACCCACTCGGGCACAGGTCACTGACCCACATCAGGGACTGGGGGCGAAAATATAATAATAATAATAACAATAATATTAATAATTCATAATAAATCAAATGTATAATAAAATAAAAATAGTGAAATAATAATGATAATAATAACAATAATAATAATAATAATAATAATAATAATAATAATAATAATAATAATAATAATAATAAAGACATACTGTACAACAATGAAAAAAAAAAGATCAGGAGTGAGAAACAATATACACGTACCTGTATGTATGTTGTGTTGTAAAAGTAAGAGAAACAATTGAAACCCTGCAATTGTGTGTAAATGAGGCAGAAAGTCAGATCAGCAACCTGAGACTTGGTCACAATTTTTGTGATGCCATATGGCAGCAGGGTCTACCATTGCACAACACATTATACTTCCAATATGTCAGAGATAATGCTGAATGAGCCTCTTTGGTGATATACAGGTACAGTACTAATATTATACTGTACATGTACGTTTACTATAGTTACAGTACTGTGATAAACAATTGATGGACAGAATATATGGGATACCCGGGAGGTGGTGCCAGCTCAGCCTACCGGACAGGAGGAAGCGAGCGCCGTGTAAACAATGACATTGTAGGGGTATCGAGATATTAAAGTTGTCTAGCACTCAGGATGGAAGGAAACTCTAATGTGGTTTTCTTGTATAATATATAAGTTATATGATAGACAGTCTGGTGCTGGAGATGCCCTGTGGTGGGGAGCTGCTCCGTAGAAGACGTTCGGTGAGTATCGTGTTGAAGGAGGTAGATGTGCAGGAGCTTCGTTAGAGAAGGTGTTGCCTGTTGCTGGCCTCCTGGTTGAATGAAATGTTAACAGCGTGGAGCTTGCTGGAGATGTTGCTAGTTCAGGAAAATGGGCAGAATGAGAGTTGGTTGGTGAGGAAGCTCAGAGAAGGACATGCTCGCTGGCGGGAGCGAGGACCGCCAGGCAGGCGGAGGAGAGGCGAGGGTCGCCAGGCAGCGGCAGAGGAGGAGGTGTTGCTTGTTCAAGAAGATTGGTCAGACTGAATCTCAAGGGAGAGACAGAGCTTATATACCCCGCAGCAGCCGCTATGAGTCATGGTGGGAAAACCCGAGAAGTAGCCGGTGAATAGTTTCGTTGCTAAGATACGGTAACATCTGGTTGGTTGCTAGGGAAGGCGGCACATTGGAATGCGATAGCAGGTGGTGAGCTGCTACGCAGTTGTAGGCAGTTGTAGGGGAGAAGTCCACTACAACATATAACACCCTGCAAAATACAGTGTACTTAGCAAATGCTGCAGCTTCTGAGAATGTGGGGGGAGCGGGTTTATCACTAAGAGCAGAGACGTTACCGAGAACAAATTCTGGCTTGAATGTCGTGTACACTAATACTGACACGTTCCTTGATAAGAGAGAGGAGTTTGAAACACTTCTAAGAGTACACCAACCAGATATTGTAGGTGTTGTAGAACTGTTGTACAAGAACAGGAGAATCGACCCAGAGGAATGTGAGTTCAGTATTGCTGGATATGACTCATTTACGAACCTTTCTCAAGAAACTTGCAAGAGGGGTGTGGTTATCTATGCTAGGCAAGACCTTAGAGCCAGCCAGGCGAGGGTACAGGGAGAGGATGTTTTTGAAGAGTCCAAGTGGTGTAAAATTAAATTAAAGGGAGGGGACTTACTTATCGTCGGGCGTATCTACAGATCCCCAAACTGTGGCCCACTAAATCAAAGGAACTTAAGAACCTTAATAAACAACGCGGCGATGCTCAACCCTAGCCACCTCCTTATCATGGGGGATTTTAACTATGGCGACATCGACTGGAGAAACGAGTCCACCCCGAATGACTTGAATAACCCTGCTACTCTTTTTGTAGAAACTCTGAGAGATAATTTTCTGTTCCAACATGTTAGAGACCCGACACATTACAGAGGGGAGCAAACACCCAAGCCACTTGACCTCATCATAACAAACGAGGAGGGTATGGTGGCCAAACTGGAACACCTTGCCGCAGTTGGCACCAGTCACCATACAGTGTTGTCATTCAGATTTAACTGTTACCTAGTTCAGGATAAGGCCAGGCCAAGGTGCAATTATTACAAGGGAAATTACAATGGGATGAGGGAAGAGATGAGGGGTTCAACTGGCCTGACTTATTAAAGTACAAGAACGCAGACACTACTCTGAATATCATAACTAGTAAAATGACCCATTTGATCGATAAATATATACCCAAGACCAAACCCAGTGCTTCTATGAATACGAGGGGATCCCAACACATGAACCATGCGGCTGTCGACAAAATTAAGAAGAAAACCCAGAAATTCAAGACGTGGGTTAGGTCAAACGATGAGCAAGACAGGAGGATGTATGCAAGAGCCAGAAACCAAGCAAAGATAGAGTGTAGGAGGGCTGAAAAGGAGTTCCAGAGGCTGGTTGCAAGCGAGGTCAAGTCAAACCCTAAAGCGTTTTACCGCCATGCAAAGTCGAAATTGAAAACACGAGTAGGAGTATCGGACCTGAGGTTGGTGGATGGTAGTTACGCAGATATAAAGCTGAGGCATTGAACAACTTCTTTTCCTCGGTGTTAACAAGAGAGGATGCAACTAACCTTCCTGCGTTTGAGGACAGACGGTTCGACACAGCACTGACCCACATTGTGTTCACAGAAGAAGGTATTAGAAATAAACTGTCCAGGCTAAAGGTCCATAAGAGTCCCGGCCCTGACATGGTGCATCCTCGAGTGCTAAGAGAGTTGTGCAACGAGCTTGCAGAGCCCCTGAAGATCCTGTTTTGTAAATGCCTGGATGAACAAATGGTCCCCAGTGAATGGAAAGTGGCTTATGTGAGTCCTATCTTCAAGAAGGGCGATCGTCACTCCATGAACAACTATAGACCGGTGAGCCTGACCAGCATAATATGTAAAGTACTTGAGAGTATTATCAGAGATGCCGTAATGGAACATCTAATACGAAACAACCTTGTAAATGATTGCCAACATGGTTTTATGCCGGGGCACTCCTGCTTAAGACAATTGCTCAAGGTGTTGGGTATTTGGACCCATATTCTGGAACGGGGTGGTAATATTGACAATATTTACCTAGATTTTGCCAAGGCTTTCGACAATGTACCCCACGAAAGGCTGAAAATCAAACTGGAAAGGTACGGAATTCGGGGAAATGTCCTAGCGTGGATAGAAGACTTTCTACATGACTGCAAGCAGTGTGTGGTGATTAATGGCACGAAATCATCATCTGTACCTGTCACAAGTGGGGTACCACAGGGCAGTGTATTGGGCCCGCTGTTGTTTGTTTGTTTCATAAATGACATGCCTGACGTTGTACACTCCTCCATACAAATGTTTGCCGATGACGCCAAGTTATTTCGGGAAATTAAGAACCAAGCGGACTGTGAAGAGCTGCAGAAGGACCTCTGTGGGCTCCAGGAATGGTCGAAGAAATGGCTGCTGAGATTCAATGTCACGAAGTGTAAGAGGATGCACCTGGGGCATACCAACGGTAAAGAGGCGTATCATATGTCCCAATGGGATGAAGAAACTGCACTAGTTGAGACTGTGTGTGAGAAGGACCTAGGTGTGTATGTTGACAATGAGCTGAAGTTCTCGGGCCATTGTGAGAAGAAGGTGTTACGAGTTGGGGATTTAGAATATAGTTATACGTCTACCCAGATCCCAACAGGTAACAACAATAAAAAAAAAACAAAGACAATCGGACTATAAAAGGGTAGACAAAGGATGCGAGTTTTCGTTGTATATAATAGAGTACCATAAATCCCTTAACAAAATATTCAGCTTATAAATTACCCTTAACCAAACTTAACCTAAACATTAACAGTATATACATATTAATACAACATAAACAATCTTGAAGCAAGTGGACGTGGGGGAGTTAATACAAAATACAAGTACTTAAGTGAGGAGCTGAGATGGCTGACGAGTAAGGCTGAGTATTGTAGAAGACGGTAGGTAGTCACTGTCCGTAGGTTTAGAGGATAGATGATCCTGTGGTCACTTCCCAGAGCCAAGTCCTCTCTCCTCGAATTGGAGCTCACAAAGAAGACTTGGAGGAAGTGACGCAACAACCAGGATATGGAGAAGGGAAACCCCGGAGTGGTAACTAAGACGAGTCATACTCGTGTCTCGTCCCTAGATGGCGTTGCTCGTGGTGCTGGGTAGGTAGATCAAGACAATAGATGGCGTGGTTCGTAGTGCTGGGTGGAGGGGTTCGTAACAAAGGTAAATCAGGCAAATAAATTATTGGGTCTTATAAGAAGGTCGTTCAGATATCTAGACAGTCCGTCCCTCGTAACGATCTTCAGGAGTGAAGTGCTTCCCCATCTGGAGTACTGTCACCCCATCTGGTCCCCGAGATATGCTAGGGACTGTCAGTTGGTTGAAAGTGTTCAAAGGAGGGCCACCAGACTGGTGTCTGCACTTCGGCACCTCAGCTACCCAGAGAGATTGGAGCGCCTAAACTTGCCTAGCTTATACTACAGATGGGCAAGGGGGGACCTAGTTGAGGTGTATAAGCATCTCAGGGGGCACTACTCAGTTAAGTGTCCTTACTTGGAGCTGGCGGACGCTCGCCCCACAAGGGGTCACAGCTCAAGATTGAAGAAGCCGCAAGTCCAGAAAACCATGAGGGCAAACTTTTTTGGAGTGAGGGTTGTAAACTCTTGGAACAATCTACCAGAGAGTGTTGTGACGGCACCGAGTGTGAGCTCTTTCAAGACAAGACTTGACCAACACTGGAGCGGGTTCAGGTACATTCAGGAGCCGGTGCATGCCCAGTATTTGCCAACAGTGCGTGACAGAGACGTGACCGATCGCCCAGGCGGCTAGCGAGCCGATCAGTGGCGAAGAGGATAAAAGAAAAAAAGAAAAAATAACATAAATATTTTGTAATAAGTAAAAGATATTGTAAATTACAATACTAAACAGTATACAGCTGCTCCTTGACTTACGACGGGGTTAGGGACCCAAGTCCAGGTCGTAAGTCGAATTGGTCGTAAGTCGAAAATGCTTAAATAATGCATAGAAAATCTAAAATGGGTGTCTCTTTTTCTTCTCAGCACCACAAAACTCTCAATTTTAAGCTTGCCAGCCATTTTAACGTGAATTACAAACGAAAATTTTGTCAGTACACAGTGCAATCACTAACGTTCGGACTCGAAAATACGTAATTTGACAAAATTTTGGTACGACTGAGGCGGTCGTATGTCCGGGTGGTCGAAGGTCGAGTATGAGGTAAGTCAAGGAGTAGCTGTATATATGCAGGTATGTTTCACCACTTGAAGCTTAGAATATGTTTTAAAATAGAGGTACAGTGCTGTACAGTGATATAAGGCAGTGGGGATTTGCATTTATTTATTTTTTATCTTGGCAGAAAACATCAAATCAGTTTTTTTTATTTGATATTACTATCAAATTTTCATCTTTCAATTTGGTACTCAACTGCTAAAGGCATGAGACATCACAACTGACAATAAATTAGCCACAGTCAGACATAAGAGTACAGGAATGACCTTACACAGTATTGATTCTTTTTGACATTTATAGGCTGGACTTCTTGTGGGAGACATGATCCTGTGCGTCAACAAGGAGGAGATGGTTGGTGTGGACTATGACCAAGCTACCAATATCCTCAAGAAAACTGAGGGAGTCATCAACATGTGGGTGGCCAATGCCTCCAGAGGAAAGGATGGCAAGGTACCAGCAGCAGCAGCTGCAACAGAGAAAAAGAAGCCAGGTACGTACTGCACTGTGTTTACTAACTTCTGCCGTACAGTCGTTTCTTGTATTTTGTTTACAAAAGGAAGATATACAAGTTTGTCTTTCTCTATCATATGGAGTGATGGACAGTTGGGGAGAAAATTGCCTCGATGTCTTTGGCAATTCTGTATTTATCATGAGAGAGTCAAGTTGATATCAAGAAGTGGGATTTTAATGTACGGTCAACCCTCGTTAATTCGGACCCCTTTAATCCGGATTTTGGATAAATCGGATGAAATCTGAGCTAAGCGAGGGACTGTCCGTATCAAATTTCTGGTTCTGGAATTATCCGATAGATGGCGCGCGTGCGCCAGACCGCCAGTCATTGTTGACTTAGCGCCATATTCGAGTATCAGTGTTGTGTTGCCCTGCAATTTTCGTTGATATTTCAGTGATTAGGCATCTTTCAGCCTTATATTTTACATCATGTCTTCAAGGGGGAGTAATACACCGAAGAGGAAGTATGTGACCCTTTCTGTGAACCAGAAACTGGAACTTATAAGGAAGTTAGAGGCTGGTGCTTCGGTGGCTAGAGTTTGTGACGAGTATGGTGTTAGAAAGCAAACGGTTTCGGACATACTCAAGGCTAAGGACAAACTCACTGCATTTTCTTTGAAATATAATGCAATATTATGCAATATTAACCCCTAAATCCGTTAATTTGGACAATCGGCTAAAACGGACACCCTTCCCCCCCCTATTAGTCCGTTTTAACAAGGGTCGGCTGTATATTTACTCACATACTATTCTTTGTATCATAAAGTGTTTTTCATGATAGTTGCATATACTTCATGAAGGCAAAGCAGCATTTAATAGCTGTAAACTATTCACATATATGACCCAAGCTAGATGGTCGATATTGCTAAGTGATGGAGGAACTTTTTCTACAACTGTAATTTATTTTATTTTTTATTTATTTATTTTTTTGACCTGAAAGAAATTAATATTAGGTTATTATGTAGTATGAACAAGGATGTGTGAATGGTATCTGAGGTTAATTTTAGAACTACAGAGACCATCGTTGGCCTCTGCTGGTACTACTGATGTGTATGACTGATCAGAATTCGTATCATATGGTTGATCAATAGTAATGTTCTTATCATAATATATTTCTTTCTAGCCCCCAATCACAGAGAATGAGTTGTGTTATTTCATTTGAGCTCTAAAGACACTAATTATCAAGTACAATGATAATTACATATGATAATAGATTTAGCAGAGTTATAACTATATTTTATTGAGGTATGTTAGAAATTCTTGTTTATCATGGGTAAAATATCAAGCTTTGGAAATATTCTTATATTGCCATAATAGCCAAGAGGGTAAGACAAAAACTCAGCTAATCTAACCTTGTCAAACCTGACCAAACTAAACCTAACACTAACCTAAGTTAATCTAATACTAACCAAACCTAATCTAAACTGTTTTAACTTAACCTACCCTAAGTTAATCTCATACTAACCAAACCTAACCCAAACTGTTTTAACTTAACCTAATATAAGTAAACAAAACCTAAGCCAACTTGATCTAAGCTAAGTTGATCTAACACTAAGCTAATCTAATCCAACCCAACGTCAACCAGTGAGTTTTTGTCCATACACCAATATTCAATGGGGCAAATAGTAGTTCACCTTAAAAGCTTAAGGGGCTGAATTAGATTATTTATTAAATGCTACATTGACAGGTATGTTATGTGTGTGTATTTCTGTGTTGCTGATGTATCTTGTATACCTGTTAGTGTATTAAGAGGTGTATTGTATAGATCTTTTAGTTGTGTTGTAAACTAATGAAACTAGATGGTAAAATTTTCTGGTCTTCATCTCACTTAATGGTTTCTGTCTGCAGGTAGAAATGGATAAATGAATGAAAGAGTCAGTCAGGCCTTGTTAATTCTAGCTGTGATGTTTGAGGTTATTTAGATTTGTTAATTAAGTAGAATGATAATTGTTTATGTCCAGAGTGTAATTATAGTTTATTTAATTGTTCTTTCGGTTCTGTTGATTAGTTTTTGTCTGGGTGCATGTTGTAAATTCACAGATCAGTTATAGATTCCAGGAATGTAATGTGATGAATTTAGTTAAAGATTTAATTACTTGTCATGGTACACTTGCCCCTGAGTATATAATGGAGTTTTAATCCTTATAAAGTCAACTGGCTAGAGTTAATGGGGTCTGGCTGTCGATGTGTTTGTGTGTATACGTGCCATTGTGTGACGGTGGCTGGGATACTAACATGGTGTTGTGCCTCACTCTCTGTGCTTTTGGCCGTCTGGTGCCGCTGCGTCGTGAACCTGGTGATCATTGTGGGCTGGTGCATGGCCCTGTGAGTATGATATGTCAATATGTAATCCCCCTCCTCCATCCCCGACCCCTTCCCCACTATTCCCAACCCCCTCCCTACCATTCCCTACCCCTCCCTACCATTCCCAACCCTCCCTACCATTCCCAACCCCTTCCCCACAATTCCCAACCCCTCCCTACCATTCCCAACCCTCCCTACCATTCCCACCCTCCCACCATTCCCTACCCTCCCCTGACCATTCCCAATCCCTGACCCCAACCCCTCCTGACCATTCCCAACCCCCTCCTGACCATTCCCAACCCTCCCTATCATTCCCAACCCTCCCTATCATTCCCAACCCCTCCCTATCATTCCCAACCCCCACCATCCCAACCCTTCCCCCAAACCCCAACCCCTCCCCACCATCTTCGACCCCCTACCCTATGCATACCTACGTGCCCCCTGTGATGACCCAGTATAATGGTAGTGTACATGCCAGATTCTGCCCTGTGTTGCTCCGTAAAAATTATCGTTTTGTGTTTTAACCAACCTACCAGTTCAGTTTCCCATTTACATTCTCATTAGTTATCAAGTATTTCATGCTAGTCGATGCCTTATGGATTTTTGCTTTATATTATTATTATATAGTACAGTACCATATATATTTTTCCATTCATTTGTATGCAGACAACATACCAATTATGTATCACCTGGTTTTCCTCATACTGTCCTCTTGAAATGTCTGTTCCTAGGCATCTTGTAGTGTATTATTTAGTGATATATTGGGGGGTATTTTTTCCCCAATATTGCTCGATAGATATAAAGGTGTAATTCTCAGGACATTATACCAACACATCAACTGATTATCTCTCAACACATGTCTTAGTTGTACCAGTTCTCTGTATATCTTGAATTTAGTCACACATATCCAGTGTTTACAGTTGTCTTATGTTCAAAGGTATTTAACATAAAATTCGTCAAAAAATCTAATAATTTTCATATTTGTTGGACACTATTAACACTTAATTTGTCTTTATTTTTAATTTTGCTCAAACCCACCATTAACCTATGACCTCACAAGAAGGTCATTTTTTTTTTTTTTTTATTATTATTGCATGAACTGTATTATTTAACACTAAGCTAGCTAATATTTTCTAAACATTAGGTTGAAAATTATCCTTATAAGTATGTGATTTTGGTTGACACATGAAGCTTCCTCACCAAACACCATCACACCATCACCTGACTTACACCATCACACCATCACCTGACTTACACCATCACCCCATCACCTGACTTCCATTATAAACTGTACTGTACCTTGTGTTTTGGAGAGAAGATGGAGGTACTGTACTTCTCAAGAATGTTTAAAAGTTTGAAGTGGAAAATTTTTAATATTTGACTCAGGTGGTGTAATTCAGCTATGATGTTAATTATATTGAGAGGTACAGTCACCTGGTACAGTGTCTGGGGCATTTTGTAAGATGTGGCAACTCTGTGGAATGCTTATCTAGTCTCCTTAGTCAGGCTACTTTCCCAATGTTCCTTTGGGCCATTCTGGGAGTTTCAGTGCAATGTCAATAAACACAGAGCTGCCACATCTCACAGGACACGCCAGCTGCTTTGCCAGGTATTAAGATTGGTTAGAGATTTGTGGGTTGAGATATTCACATTTCACCCAACACCTCTCACAAGACTGGTCAGGTAAAAGTTTTGATAATCCATCTCAGGTGAATAAATCAATACACTTTTACTCAGAACATACGTTAAACATATACACTTTACTGATTTATACACATTACTAATTTATTTTCCACATTAATGAATTGGTCGCCATCTGACTCATTTGTACACATTACTCTCCGAGATGTTAGGTTTTATTCTTATCAGTTGAACAGTTGTGTAGGATTGGGTATGCACTTGGCAATACCTTCACAATCACCAAGAAGAACTATTTGATATCAGTTAAATTATATTCTTTAGATACAAATAATATAAGGAAATTTTGTTTTTTGATCTGTCTCTGTTCATATTTTTCAAGTTTTCTTTAATGAATATGAATTACAGTAATAAGAAAGGTGTTAGTAATTGTAGAGAAAATATATAAAGTAATGACAAGTTCAGTAGTTTTGTGCGGTGAACACAGACAGTCACTCCAACATAATCACTCCCACACTCAACCAACTCCAACACACAATCGCTCGCACACACAATCACTCCAACACACATCCAACTCCAACACACAACCAACTCCAACACACAATCGCTCGCACACACAATCACTCCAACACACATCCAACTCCAACACACAATCAACTCCAACACACAACCAACTCCAACACACATAATTTTGTTGGATTCACTGCTATGTGTTCAGACAGGTCACAGAAGAATCACGTGAACTACTGTATGTAGAAGGTGATAACTGGAGTGAAAAAAAAAAAAACAGAATATAATTGTCCTTAGTTACATCTCCGAGGGATTGGAGGCAAAAAAGTGCTTGTCTCTGTTTCCCGGAAGATGCCATTACTCAAAAATTCTTTAGATGTACAATTACCTCCATTTAAACCTGGTACAGTATCTGGTTCATTTTGTAAGATGTGGCAACTCTGTGGAATGTCCAGTTAGTATCTTTCGAGTGGTTGCTATTGCAAGGTTCCTTAGGCCCATTCCCCTAGTTTTAATTCGATGTAACCAAACACAGTTGCCACATCTCACAAAACACACCAGCCACTGTACGAGGAATAAGTGTAAGGTGACTATACATGTTTCTTTATTCTCTGTTTTAACCTGCAAACTTATTTTACTGTGTGTGTAAATTGTTAGTTTCATTTAGTCATTATGAGCCTTTGATTTTTATTAAGCATGTAGTTCAATTAGGTACTGTAATTATTGAGAGATTTATAATGTAATTTTTGTATTTACGATTGTAATTGTAGAGTTGAATCGAGTGAAATGCATTATAGAATTTTGTTATTGTATTTTTTTTGTGTAAATCAAACTATAGTAGTATTGTATAGTCTGTTGGGAATAAGTTGGCATTATTCTCTCTCTTTTATTGGCTGTGTAGAACTGATATGGCTTAACTGCAGAGATTGTCATGTGATGTAGTAGACCATATCATCGTTATACAGGAGTACATATAACTCCTAATAATTGTATTATATTTCTGTAGTTCATGTTTTCTTGTAGTTGTTGTATATATTTTGTATCAGTACAGTAATATATATATAATTTTCCTAAAATATTTCTCTTTAGACTGTTAGTGAAATAAATCTTTCTTTTTTTATTATTAGTTTATAGATTGTAATGATTGTCTGTGTGATTTCAATGGCTGTATATTTTCACAGACGTGCCACCAAAACCGACGCTGGCCCCCAAACCCGTCCTGCCTGCCAAACCTCCCTCGCTCTCCTCCATGTTGCCACCACCGGCACCTGTGTCATCGTCATCATTGGACGAACCCACCATACCTTCCTCTCCCCCATTACTTCCTGCTCGTCCGGCGCCCATGGAACGGTTACCATCACATGGCCTTTCCTCCATAACATCGACCGCGTCATCAACCTCAACGACGTCGTCTCCATCCTCACTCCCACCAACAGACGAGAAGCCTCAGGTTAGTTTAATGTTTTCACATTTTATTTACTCTTTTATTGACAGTGCTCATTTAATCTGCCTGCTGGCCAAAGTGACTCATTTAACAGATGTCTGAATCTTTTTTCATTATTCCTGGAACAGAAAGTTTAATTTATCTATTAATGATTTTTTTCTCTCTACTTTATTTAATCTCAAAACATATCTGTGTGCCTTTCATCACTCAGACTATGTAACTGTAATTTGGTACCATAATCCTATACAGTATTGAGCTTCCTATTTAAATATTCATCAAGAACTCAGTATTTTCTACACAGTGTTGACTGGAGACAAGATGGGTGTAATCAGAGTTGCGTTGATATCCTGGGGGTGTTTGCCTCACTTGGGTGAATAACTAGAATTAAAAACTCTAACATTTTCATTAACATTCGGAAGTTTATAACTCATCAAGGCAGGGCAGGTGTAGTGGTGGTGACATAAACAAGAGGAGATAGTCAGGAGAAGATTTATTTTTTCTACATTAGTCCAAGAGATGATAAGCATTATTTCCAATTTTGATTAACAAATGTTTGAGAATTGTAATAGTAGTAAAATAGTGTGTAGAATAAAAACATGTCTTACAGAGCTCTTGAATGACAAAAGAGCAGCTGTGGCCTATTTTGAGTCCAGAAATTGAGATTCGGCTGGTGTGTGTGTGTGTGTGTGTGTGTGTGTGTGTGTGTGTGTGTGTGTGTGTGTGTGTGTGTGTGTGTCACTAAGTTTAGATTATATTCTTTGTGTTATGTATTATTTAATAAAAATATGATAAAAATGGATAAATTGCAAAGAAAATGCTATACAGTGGTCCCTCCAAACGAGCGGTTCAATTTACGAGATTTTGGTTAACGAATCAGCTCCCATAAGGATTTTCAGTTCCATTAACGAGTACAACTTCTATTAACGACAGCCTTACGAGAAACACACACTTTGGTGCATGCATCAGCTGACCGGCTAGCCTAGTCCGCCAATACTGTAATGTAATGCAGGTGATTAATTTTTATCTCTTGTGCAAAATATTCTGTCTTTCAAGGATTCCTGCAATGCAAATTATATTCTCTTAACTTTAGTCTGTGATATTATATAAGATAAAAACTTTAAGCCTAAAACCCTGGCTGGGAAGATAGGGGAAAGGGAGGGAGGGAGGGAGCTGATCGAATCACCCGCCAATGCTTCTCAGTTTAACTTTGTTTACGGTGGAGTACACATTGAATTTGTTGGTCTCTTGAATATTTTTGCATTTTGTACATTAAATTTATTGGTCATTCAGAAATTTAATTAACATATTGACAATATAATGCAGAAATTATTAAGAAATACAAAGTACAGTACTGTACTTAGTTTATATTTAAAATTTGTATGTACTTTTTCTGTGAGTTGAAACCAATTACCCAATATCCCATTGAAATACAAGTAATAGATTCAGTTAACGACTGACTCTGTGGAAGCAATTGTGCTCGTTAATAGAGGGACCACTGTACTTGCATTAAAAGTAAACTTGGACTGAGATAACTGCTGTTACTTAATACAAGAATAATGGTACAAGATATAATACAATACAGTGCTATAAATATTGTTAACATCCTTTATTGTAGAAGAATTACTGTGAGGTTTGGCTACAGGTCACCATGTTCTCTTAAGTCACTGCCCCTGTCTGGTCGTTCTTGGCCAGTACACTCATGGTCATTGTCTTCTATGCCAGCACTTGATATACTCTGACATAAGTCAATAGGCATCTGCTCACATTCATACTATACTGGGTAATAGTTGCCATAGTTTTTTGGTGAATCTACTTGATGGTCTTTTTTTGTGGCTGTCTTTCACATTTTTTGTGACATTATTTGCTCTTTTAAATTTTTTGTACAAAGTGCTTTCATGCTGGCATCAGTTCCTTTTATTCTGTCAAGTGGAAAGTCAGTGTGTACTTAGCCAAAGATATTTTCAGCCTGGCTTTGTCAGCTAAATCTAAACTTTGACTGTACAGGGCATAAAAAATTTTTTCCATGCAGGCATTCGAGTCTTCATAGTTGAATGACTCACCTAGACGATTCCAGCCTTCAAGAAAGGCTGGAGTTTTGTTGGCAATTTCATATGGTGTGACTTCCCCTACTTCACAAAACGATGTATAATTATATAATTAATCAATTATAATTATCATAATCAGAACCTATCAAACAACTATATATAGACACAACGATCAACTTCATATGACACTTACTTTAGGAGATTGATCATTTTGACAAAATGTCCTAAATGTGGCTATGTACGGGTAGAGTTTTTGCTACAATGGGCCCTATGGGTATCGTACACAGCTCCGAGGTATCAATATGAAAACTAGATTGCTCAGAGCACTTATTGAGGAAACTTTCACAGTGAAAGTGATTTTGGGCTAATGGTAAGTAAAATATGGCCATTTTGTACTGCAAATCAAGGAATAGGGATGAATCATGCTAAAAAGTTGTTATTAGTACTCAAACAATCAGAATACAGTAAATGAAAATGAATAATTTATGTGTGCCTAATCACAGCCTATTATTGATTTGTTTGGTGAAACTCCAAAACCATCATTTTAGCCGCTTGGCACCCAACCGAAAAACCCAGATCAGCTCCGCAGAGAAAACGTACTTGACCTGCAGGAGTTACCTAAACTTTTTCTGAAGGTCTCAGCATATAGAAAAAGAAAATTTAAACTCCCACTCTAAAAGAGTCGTATACACAAACTACCCCCTTGAGCCAATATTAGTTTTGATATTTAGAAATGTTAAACCTCAGTTATTGTTGATGTTTTGTGTGTGTTTATGTGGTGGTGGGGTGATGTAGAGGCTCCTTGATCATAGCCTCCCCCAACACCACCACTTAAGAGAGTAAGGTGTCGTAGATAAGTATATACCGAGCAGTTTTTTACCCTCAGGATCCAGCAACAGCAGAGATCCTGCCCGGCAAAGAAACCACCATTGAAATTGTCAAAGAAAAGATGGGACTTGGCCTCTCCATTGTAGGCGGCTCAGATACACTCCTGGTGAGTTGATGGTCTTGTACTGAGACCTGACTGTAGAGACCATGCAAATAAATCACTGTAGGTGCACGTGATAACCACATTCTTCCTCTTCCTCCCCCTCCTCCACCTCCACCTCCTCTTTTTCCTCCTCCCTCGCCTTCCTCCCTCCTCTCCTCCTCACTAATAAGTCAAATTTAACCTGAATGGAAGCAATATTATCCCTTTCTTTATATGATTTAGCCAGTTTTCAGAATATAATGAAATAATTCAAATGGGTCAGTGGATTTTATGATCTTTTGAATGTGACCTGACCTGTGATTCTTCTATTGAGATTTGTACCCTGAATTTCCCCCTCTGGCTGATTATTGTTAAAATTGATCCTTGTTGGTGACTTAAAATCTCTCGGTCTGGCTCTAGCTTAAGGGGGTCATGTTTGGGGAATAAAAGTTAATACGGTATACTTTTTGGAGCTTGTGTATGTTTGTGTGTGTGGGTGACCTGTGATGTAATGGTCAGTATGTTCGCCTCACAAGCGAGTGGACTCGGGTTCGATCCCTGGGCAAGTTTCTTTACACCATTTGCCTCTGTCTACCCATCAGTAATTGGGAACCTGGATGTGTTTAATCAATTTGGGGATCATGTTCCGGGGTAATGGTTAGCCAGTGCAGTTGGCGAGTTGTCCGGACTTCTCGGACTATTCCTTGACACTGGGTCGTGCCACTCGTTAACTTAGGGTGTGGTTGTTGTGATGGCGACAGTTTCTACACCATAAACAAATTCATGCCTGGGTGGCTGTAGGGCCGACCATCCTCGAACACGAGGGGCAGCCATTATTATTATTAGTGTGTGTGTGTGTGTGTGTGTGTGTTTCAAATAACTTCATTATCAATTAGTTTAGAAAAATACCACAATGTCTATTTCTTTGAGTCATTTCCTGATTTCAATTACCCAGTGAAATGATTTATTCTTGTCTAGCATTTGTCTTCCCATCAAAAATATGTTCATCTGCCAGGAAAAGAGAGGATCCCATGAAGTAATCCCCCTGCTTACTTCACCTGATGCTTAAACACCCTTATACCCTCTGGTGGGTTAAGCTAGGTTAGGTTAAATTAAATTAAGTTTGGTTAGGTTAGGATAGATTAAGTTAGTTTTGGTTAGGTTGGGTTAGTCTCAAGTTAGCTTAGGTTAGGATAGATTAACCCTTTCATGGTCTTGCATTGCTAAGCGCTCCCGTGCTGGTGCGACCCCTCCCCCTCAGCTGTATCTCACACTGAGAGCAGCACCCTTCCCATACATCTCCTGAAGACTGGCGGATACATCCAAGTGCACAATTTGGGCCTAGATCACTACCCAATATTTACTAAAATGGAAAAACCATTCCTGTTATCGACAAAACCTGTGTCAAAAGACTGCAAGGGAGTGAGATTTCCGACCGTGACCAAGAGTAACAGGGTTAAGTTAGTTTAGGTTATGTTAGCATTAGTGTGGTAATATTCCACTATTTATGGACAGTTGTGGTTAGTATAAGAACAGGAATTATTAAGTGATATATGGAACAGGTGAAGAAAACTTTTACAGTACAGGTGTGATATTTTAATGTCTTCTGTCACAAGTCTTTGTGTAGATGGTAATATATAGTCACATGGTTAGGGGCACTATTATGTTTGGATGATGAGATGCAGAATATTGATCAGGAATCATGCATAAGTACATGTACTGCAAAGGGAAATGAAAAATAAAAGGTTAAAAATTGGTGGTCAGAAAATGGTTTTATTTTATTATTATTTTTTGGGGAGGGGAGTTCAAGCATTGGTGTCTGAGAAGATTGGCATGTAAGTGATTAGAAAGGTGAGTCAGAGGTCAGTATTTATAATGACTAGAAACAAGGTCAAGAACGGAAATTATGATACAAATATTGAAAGGGCAACAGGAGTATGACTTTTAGCCAATGTTGAAAAGTTAGTTTGAAAAGATTAAAAAAAAAAAATATTATTAAAAGTTTGGGTTTGTGTATAGTAGCAAAATACTAAAGACTAAATCATAGGTAAAGTCATAACAGTTTTAGAATGGAACTTAACTTTACATGATCTATTATACTTTGGATTCTGGGAAGCAGTTTTACCTTAGATAATGCCAAGAACAGGAGGAATATATTCTATACTTCATATCAATAGACTTTTAATATAGCTCCCCCATGATATATATTATTTACTGAATATTGTTATACTTTACTGTAGTCACCCGATGATTATGTGAGTTGATATGTTAAGTACTTTTAAGTGTAATTTACTGTACTTATCGCTGTTTTCTCTTCTCTTTACCCCTGCGAACGTCAACAAACTAGAGAGTAAGTACAGTATGTGTGTGTTTAATGCCAATGGTTGTCTGTTGCTTCGGAAATTGTTTTGTGAATGGTAAGAGGTGATTGCCGGAGCTTCTTGTTATTTGTGGTTTTGTTAATGTCTAAATTGCATTAATGGTGCTTGTATGAAGGGACTGATGCTTATTTGCTTCTTTTTTTCTTCTGAAGATTGGATATTAATGCTACAAGTTGCCTTCTGCTGTGTTAAAGGTTCTGTAGTGTGGGTTGGCTGCCTTGTTTATGTTATGGGTGGGTTGGCTGCCTTGTTTAAGTTACATTGTTTATGTTATGGGTGGGTTGGCTGCCTTGTTTAAGTTACATTGTTTATGTTATGGGTGGGTTGGCTGCCTTGTTTAAGTTACATTGTTTATGTTATGGGTGGGTTGGCTGCCTTGTTTAAGTGCCACAGTGTTTATTCTCAGCAGGTCAATTGAGTGTGTAGTGTTCATGATTGTATTTTAAACAGAGGGTATTTTTTTGTATGTGTTTTGTTATTTCCAGTAAAGTTCTAGACTTGGGGTATCTTGCAGGTATTGAAGCTAATATTTACTAGAATTCACAGGTGTATACTTAGAGTAAAAACTTCCATTTAACGGACATCATTCTAATGGGTATAGTCCATTATATGTGAAACCTCTATAGTCCATTACATAGAGGTTTCACATATAATGGACTACACTTTCCCCTATGGTACATTAAATAAAGGTCTCACTGTAATGCATTAATTAAAATATAACAGTATTGTGAATAAGAGAGATAGTTTCCTTTTTTCCAAATAAACTAAATGAAATATGTTATTGTACGCTCCTCTACTTGTTCCTATAGACTGAGGTGTTATTAGTGTTGAGGACTTTCCCCCTTGGCAATTTCTTATGGACAGGAATATCTCTTATTAATGGGAAAGGAGTCAATGTTAATGGGATAATGTTAGATATTTATACAGTATAGTACAGTACATTTAACAGTAGCATACACCATTTTACAGAGTTTTATAAATGGGGATGAGTTGTTGTCAAGGTTTTGGCTGGTATACAGTATTAGTTTAACATGAGCTGGTTGAAGTCTTCCCTGTAGATATGAGGACAGGCAGGGAGGCATCAGGTTAGTATGTTTAGTTGTTAGTTACAGGAATAAATGAGATTCTGGTGGTATAATCTGAAGCTGTGTTTGGGGAAATTATATTTTAGCAAGTGGTTAGGTAAATAAAGTTGATATTGAAGCTTCAGTAGTGTTCAGTCACTGTTGTACTTGTTGTGACCTGATGAAGAGTAGATCTGTTTTACTGTGTTGTTACTTTACTTTAATGTACTGAATCTTCCTGGTCACTGATCAACCTGTTAGCTACTAGACTTTTTGTGGGAAAATGTCAAAATGGGTTTGTCTGTCAGTTCTTTTGCACGTGTAATTTACTTTTAAATGCAATTAGTTTCACAACAAATGTGTCCATAAAACAACAAATACATGTATGTTGAGATCCAAACACTGGGTAGTCTTGGGGTGACTCCTTGAAATACCTTATAGAAAAGATGATAGCTTGGTGGTTATTTATTATTGAAATCTTTAAAGCATGCAACAAAAAATGACATGGCTATTTTTAGTATGAATATCAGGATTTGTTGATGATTACATTTACCAAACGGGACACACCATAAAACAGCATCATTGGTCCCCTGGTGGAATTTTGTGAATGTGGTAACTTAAACAAATAGGAATTGATATACTGTATACATTAAGTTTGTATATATTTATCACAACAGGAAATGAGATGAGTTAAAATATTCTTATCATAATTGTTTGTATATTTGGCCTGTTGGACTTTTCTGCATTAGTGGCCTTGATTACCTATAAAGGCAAACAAGTACAGTATTTAAATTCATTTAGTTATGTAGTGTTGTACTGTTAACTAGACTCTCTTATCATTCCTGTTTGGAATCCACGAGTTCATGAAGTTTATTTGTCATGTGATTTGGTGTTGCTGTGTGTAAAATGTTTGGCATATTTGCTTTATTATAAGGAAAAGATGTCAGTTTATATTGAGTATAAGAAAATTTTTTATTACTAATCATTATTACTAGTATCAGTATATTAAAGGCTTGTATTTTGATTGGTGTTAATTAATACATATTGTAAATGTTTTGTTAAAGACTAAATTTTGGGGTTATTATAGTAACTTGTGTGTGATCTTGATAAGGTAACCATGAGATATAAAATTTGGCCAAAAGTTTAAATAAAGTTGTGTTTTTTGTGAGATACTGTACAGGTCTATATTAAACTTCCAAATGTTCACACTCTCGTTATTTACAGGGTGCTATAATCATCCATGAAGTGTATCCTGACGGTGCCGCTGCCAAGGACGGTCGACTCAAACCCGGCGACCAGATTCTTAACGTAAACAATGAGAACTTTAGAGAAATTACCCACCAGAAGGCTCTCAGTGTTCTAAGGCAGACTCCCTCAAAGGTGAGTAAGTTATGGGCATGGATGATGGAAATGTTAATTATACTCAGTACTGTATAGAGAACTTACTGTCAATATTTTATACAAGTTTAGTTTAATTTAAGTTAGTGATTTAGGTTTTATTGGTGTGTGAAGGACTAGAACAAGACATGCAAGTATTTATGGTGAGTTAAAGTCAATGTAAATAAGTTATGACATGTTACTCTTACAAACTGTCACCAAGACAGTTCTTTTAGAGACAGGCAGGCAAGGCAGTGCATAGTGTGGTGTAAGCTCCTTGTAATGTTGATAAAATATATTTCTCTCAACATAAAACTCCCGTTGTAAGAATCGATTTAACTGGTTCATCTTATCCTGCCTCTGTCATCATGATAATAAGTTGAGGCCTTTTGTTCTCAACAGACCAATTTCATCTTCATTCCTGGTAAAGATAGAATTCTGTCCTGACAGTGATATGTGTGCATACTGTAGTTGATGTGTGTGTGTGTAGCTTCCTCTAAGTCACTTACCAGTGGGAGTATAAGTTGCATATTCAAATAGGAAATTTCAAATACTTATTGGCCTCCACAGATGTTTTTATTCTGGGTTTAATATACAGTTTTATATACAGTTTAAATTCAAAACTACCAGTTTACATTAAGATCTGTGGCCAGCTTCACCTCAGCTATGATGCCTCTCCAGATACACTGACTCATAGAAGTACTGTATATCCTAAATCATGCAGCTGTATAGAAGAACACATCATTACAGTGGCAAGAAGGAATGAATGACTGCCACTGGGAAATTCTGTATTACTCTTGATGGCAGCCACTTTGTGTTTATTCATTAGTGCAATATATCAAACAATTAATAGCACATGAGTATAGTGTGGGTGGAGGGATGCCCACACTCTCTTTACATTGTGTCACACACTCTATGAAAAAGATCTTGTGGCAATTTTGAGTTCATACAGGACCATTTGTTCTTGTAAGTTCCAATGAAAATATGAAATCTGGACAAGGTTTCTACTCTTGTTTTTCATTCCTCTTCCCAGTTCAATGCAGGATGTTTGGAGTGAAGAGCAAACACAGACTCTCTATTTATTTAGTCATCCTCACACTCATAATGCTTAGTTATAATGTACAGTCACTCAAAAATATATCTCTACTTGGGGCGGATGGGGGTCGGTGAATTCCATAATGAACACTATGACTCCTGTTGTCTCGGTTGGGTTGTCAAAATCCTTCGTCTGTTGTGTCATATTTTGTATAGATAATTTGTTGAGTGACTGTACATATTCTGGTAAATGTGTTCTGTTGTGATACATTATAGAAACAAAACATGATGAAAAATCTTAGAAAATGTGTTTAAATGATTGAGTAGATGTGTATAGAAATTTCATATTTTGTGAACATGGTAAGTAAGTTATCAGTGTCGGTGATGGCTCCCTCAACTTAGCTCGGTGATTTTTGTTTCAATTATTTTATGTTTACTTGTTTACTATATAATTAGGTTATTCACATTTTGTATATTACATTAATCCTCTATTTAGTTTATATTGTTTTTGGTCTTTATAAATTTTGGATTATTTTTATCTGTTGATTTATTTATTTTTTTTCTATTTTCTCTTTTTCTTTTGTGGTTAAGGATAAAAACAAGGTAAGAGATGCAATGTAACCAGGTACAGTGACCCCTCGGTTAACGAACTCAATCCGTTCCAGAAGGTCGTTCGTTAACCGAAAAGTTCGTTAACCGAAACCATTGTTTCAATGGGTTTTTGGGTAATTGGTTCCAGCTCACCGAAAATTTCCTAAATTCAACAAAAATGGTAGAAAAGTTCACTTACTTTGAGGTGTGTATGTAGAAGGCTCCTGATGATGATGATGATGGGATTTAGAATGGGGGTGGAGGAGAAGGAAGAAGAGAAGGCATTGGGGTGGAAGAGAAGTCACCCCATGGCGCCATTTCACCCATAAAATTTTAGCTCTCTGGTGTAATTCAAGATTATTTTCTTTAAATCAACACTGCACTGCATTATATATTGTCAATATGTAAAATATATTTCAAAATGACCAATAATTTGCTTGGAAACACAGAAAAAAAGCGTTTAGTTGAAGAGAGTCTCAAGCAAGATGTTACCTCCAGTGAAAACAGAGAGAGAGACTAACGCCTGTTTGCTGTGTTAAGAGGCTGGATGCTGCGCATTAAACTAGTCACTTTACCTTCAATTATGTTCAATAATTATTAAAATGACTAAAAAATTAAATATTAAACTTTTAAAATTTTTGAATAGTATAAATTTCTTGATATTTACTAAAATAGTAGGAATTTAAGCCCTAGAACCGATTAATGTATTGGCGGACTGATACTAAAGCTGGTGCCCAGTCAGTGCAAGCGAAAACATGTTGAGGTCGGTTCGTAAGAAATTCGTTAACCGAATTTTTGTTCGTTAACCGAATTGAAGATCCTTATGGAAGGCAGTTCGTTAACCGAAATTTCGTTAACCGAGGCGTTCGTTAAACGAGGGGTCACTGTATATAATTAACATGTAAAGTGTAATATATCTGGAAATACAAGTTAACTTATGATCATGATTCTGAATTCTTGTTGCATGATGGAAAGTGATCTGAGAATGGCTGCCCTTACATGCTACCAAAGACTCAGGGTAGGAATGGTAGTGTTTAGGATTTTAAGCTGCCTATGTGATATATTCCTCCATTGGAAGATGAATTACAATTGTTTTTTTTTTATGCATTGAGTATTGTATGTGTTGTTATATTTAAGGGAACAGGCAGTTGTATTGTGAGTAAAGATTTAATAGTCAAGGGAGTTTAAGTTATCTCACAAGGGGTCAAGTTATCTCACAAAGGGTCAAGTTATCTCACACAAGGGGTCAAGTTATTTCTCACAAGGGGTCAAGTTATATCTCACAAGGGGTCAAGTTATCTCACAAAGGGTCAAGTTATCTCACACAAGGGGTCAAGTTATTTCTCACAAGGGGTCAAGTTATATCTCACAAGGGGTCAAGTTATCTCACACAAGGGGTCAAGGTACCTCATACACTGTACATAGGGGTTTGATTTAATAAGCAAGAGATTATGTACGAGAGCTGCATAACCTAAAATTACTCTCCATTTGCAAAGAAGTATTATGTAGTCGCTAGTATGTGTGTGTGTGTGTGTGTGTGTGTGTGTGTGTGCGTGCGTGCGTGCGTGCCTAAATTGCTAAAAATAAATTGAAACTTATGGAAAGTTTATGCTAGACAGTTAGTTGAGTTTCCAGTAAAGTTGGGTGTAGTAAGCACTCACAATTATAATTTGTGAAGATATTTATGCTTATTTAGGGAGCTTTAATTGTCATGTAAGTTGTTTGTTGTGTACTAATAAGTGAAATAATAAGTCACGTGTAAGTATTCCTTGTGAGTTGTACTGTACTTGCTGGGTCTGTAGTGTGCATCATCCACAATAGTACGGTACATGCAGGGTTTACATGTAGTGGGCCACCAGCTATGTTGACTGCCTCAGTTAATCTCTTAATATACTGTGGTTGTGTCTGTGTTGTTGGATTAATGATTTGCTCTAGGTGAGCCACTGCCATCTTCTCCTCCATTCCTCAGCCTCTTCATATCTGTTTGGGTCTAATACTAAAACATTTCTTTTATAAATAAGGTAATAAATTATTTTTGGCACGGTAGGTGAAGATGGTGGTGTACCGTGAGGAGGGGACGCAGAAGGAGGAGGACCTCTACGACACCATCACCGTTCAGCTCACCAAGAAGTCTGGCAAGGGTCTTGGACTTTCAATAGTTGGGCGCAAGAATGGCCCGGGAGTTTTTATATCTGATGTGGTAAGAAAAACACCTTTAACCCTTAAATGGTGGCCATCACCAGTAGAGTTACCTGTAGGGACAGTGGCCATCACCAGTAGAGTTACCTGTAGGGACAGTGGCCATCACCAGTAGAGTTACCTGTAAGGACAGTGGCCATCACCAGTAGAGTTACCTGCAGGGACAGTGGCCGTCACCAGTAGAGTTACCTGTAGGGACAGTGGCCGTCACCAGTAGAGTTACCTGTAGGGATAGTGGCCATCACCAGTAGAGTTACCTGTAGGGACAGTGGCCGTCACCAGGAGTTACAGTGGCCGTCACCAGTAGAGTTACCTGTAGGGACAGTGGCCATCACCAGTAGAGTTACCTGTAGGGACAGTGGCCGTCACCAGTAGAGTTACCTGTAGGGACAGTGGCTGCCACCAGTAGAGATACCTGTAGGACAGTCACCAGTAGAGTTACCTGTAGGGACAGTGGCCGTCACCAGTAGTAGAGTTACCTTAGGACAGTGGCCATCACCAGTAGTTACCTGTAGGCAGTGGCCATCACCAGTAGAGTTAACTGTAGGACAGTGGCCATCACCAGTAGAGTTACCTGCAAGGACAGTGGCCATCACCACAGCAGGAGTACCTGCAGGGACAGTGGCCATCACCAGTAGAGTTACCTGTAGGGACAGTGGCCGTCACCAGTAGGTTACCTGTAGGGACAGTGGCCATCACCAGTAGAGTTACCTGTAGGGACAGTGGCCATCACCAGTAGAGTTACCTGTAGGACAGTGGCCATCACCAGTAGAGTTACCTGTAGGGACAGTGGCCATCACCAGTAGAGTTACCTGTAGGGACAGTGGCCGTCACCAGTAGAGTTACCTGTAGGGACAGTGGCTGTCACCAGTAGAGTTACCTGCAGGGATGGTGGCCATCACCAGTAGAGTTACCTGTAGGGACAGTGGCCGTCACCAGTAGAGTTACCTGCAGGGATGGTGGCCATCACCAGTAGAGTTACCTGTAGGGACAGTGGCCATCACCAGTAGAGTTACCTGCAGGGACAGACCTGCAGGGATGGTGGCCATCACCAGTAGAGTTACCTGTAGGGACAGTGGCCATCACCAGTAGAGTTACCTGCAGGGACAGTGGCCATCACCGGTGGGGTTACCTGTAGGGACGAGGCCATCCAACAGTGGAATTTACCTGTAAGGGACAGTGTGGCCATCCTCACCAGTAGAGTTACCTGCTTGGGGACAGAGGCCATCAACAGTGGAGTTACACCTGTGTAGGGACAGTGGCCATCACCAGTAAAGATTTTTGTAAGGACATCACCGGTGGGTTTCTCAGCAGGATATCCTCGTGGGGTACTACTGAGACAGTGGCCATGCCAGTAGGATTACCTGTGGGGCAGAGGCCATCAACAGTGGAGTTACTGGCAGGGACGTGTGTCACCAGTGGGATTACCTGTGGGGACAGTGGCCATCACCAGTGGAGTTCCTGTAGGGACAGTGGCCATCACCAGTGGAGTTTCCTGTAGGGACAGTGGCCATCACCAGTGGGTTACCTGTGAGACCAGTGGCCATCACCAGTGGAATTTCACTGTGGGGACAGTGGCCATCTCAGTGGAGTTACCTGTAGGGACAGTGAGCCATGATCAGTGGGTTACCTGTAGGGACAGTGGCCGCGATCAGTGGATTACCTGTAGGGACAGTGTGCATGATCAGTGGGTTACCTGTAGGGACAGTGGCCATCACCAGTAGAGTTTCCTGTAGGGACAGTGGCCTTCACCAGTGGAGTTACCTGTGAGGGACAGTGGCCATGATCAGTGGAGTTGCCTGTAGGGACAGTGGCCATCACCAGTGGAGTTTCCTGTGGGGACAGTGGCCATCACCAGTGGAGTTTCCTGTGGGGATGGTGGCCATCACCAGTGGAGTTACCTGTAGGGACAGTGGCCACCAGTAGAGAGTTACCTGTAGGGACTGTGGCCATCACCAGTGGAGTTACCTGTAGGGACAGTGGCCTTCACCAGTGGAGTTACCTATAGGGACAGTGGCCATCATCAGTGGAGTTTCCTGTAGGGACAGTGGCCATTATCAGTGGAGTTTCCTGTAGGGACAGTGGCCATCACCAGTGGAGTTACCTATAGGGACAGTGGCCATTATCAGTGGAGTTTCCTGTAGGGACAGTGGCTATCACCAGTGGAGTTTCCTTTAGGGACAGTGGCCGTCATCAGTGGAGTTACCTGTAGGGACAGTGGCCATCATTAGTGGAATTTACCTGTAGAGATGGTGGCCATCGTCAATGGACGCTAACAGTAGGTACAGTGGCCATCGTCAGTGGAGTTACCTGTAAGAATGGTGGCCATCATCAGTGGGCGTTTCATGTTCCTTGTGTTCCATTTTTGAGTGTACAGCATATTGAAGCCGAGCATGGAATCCTTAGCGGCTGGTTAAGTCGGTTGATTTTTTTTAGAAAGGATCATTTATACTCAGGATATGTGTGTTCTTTTAACACTATTGGAAATGTCTATGCAACCATTGATCAGTTTAAAACATATTCCATACCTTAATGCCTACATTATGTGTTATAATACAGTATCATTGTAATATTACCGTATCTATTATTTGCCTTATTATGATTCAGGTTCCTGGCGGTGTAGCAGAAAGTGATGGTCGACTCATGCAGGGAGATCAGATTTTGGAAGTCAATGATAAGGATCTTCGGCAAGCAACTCAAGAGCAAGCCGCTGCCATTCTGAAGTGTGCACCGGGCTCTGTGTCGATGAAGCTTGGACGACTGAAGGCCGGCAAGAAAGCCAATGCCAACAACAACGCGTGAGTGACAGCCACCACTCACTTAAAATTTTTACAATTGACAAAACAAACTACCATATTAAAAAATAATCTTATGTGTTTATATATATTAGCTCTTTAATCTGATACCTTTCTATTTTTTTTATGCATACACAGGAAGTAGAGGTTTGTACATTGTATAAGGTGGGATGAAAAATTGACTTCATAAAAAACACTGATATATTATTGTTTAGATAAAGCTACATCAGACATGCATTATCTCAGTCAGAAATGGTAGGAGTGGGGCAGATATTGTTTACATTAATATCTATTTCAGGAACAGCACATGGCCAGTGACAATAAGTGACAGTACCCCGGACAGCTCCAGCAGTCCATCCACAGAGCCCCCCGTTCCCATCCCCCGCACACACCTCCCCTCCCTCCACCAGTCACACCTCCCCTCCCTTCACCAGCCACACCTCCTCCCTCCACCACAACAACATGCACCACAGGAGACTCAGGAACCATTGGGCATCAGGACAATCTTGTTAGAACGACGTGATGATGGCTTGGGATTCTCCATCGTGGGAGGCTTCGGCTCCAACTTGGGAGATCTGCCCATATACGTCAAGAGCGTGTTCGAACGCGGAGCCGCGGCCCGCGAAGGGTCCCTAAGACGTGGCGATCAGATTCTGGAAGTGAATGGACAGTCGCTCGCCGGTTTGACACATGCTGACGCCGTGGCCATTTTGAAAGAAGCGAGGGGTTCAGTTGCACTCACTATTTTGCCGTCTAAGTGAAATATAGAAACATTCACGCTTTTGTTTTCAATTTTGGTGTTTTTTTTAATTGTTGCAAATGAAGGATAGTTCTATAAGATGATACAGTTTAACATGATCCTTGTTAATAAGACTTTGATGGTTTTCTGCATAAGGTCTCTTATCATTAATGAGTCTGCTATTCTTTGGCTTATTCACAATGTCATGTTAATAGTAATGCTTATTATGGTCAGTTATTATGTTAATGCTCACATGATGGGACTCCAATTACTCATAGTCATACATATTGCCAGAGGCATCCTCCCAACTACAAATTGTTTATACCTGTGTAATTCTAGGACACTCTGTACTACACCAATGTGTGGCCTTTAGAGATTGTGGTAGTTTCACATCAGCTTTGTTTCCTTAAGAATATTTTTGTTTACGTTTTGTTCTACCGACCAGTTCTGCAACCCTTCTGTTAATGCGGACACGCGAACGAAACTCGTATGCCCTAAGGGAGCCTATTTAGTGAACAAGGGAATCTGAATAAAGGAATTTATAACAGGCCATTAACCACAAGAATTAAAAGGGACAAATGCCTCGGGTTACGAGAGCCGTTTTAGCGACCCTAACGCAAGCCTTCAGCCACGGCAAAACAGGTAGCAATATAATTGAGACAAAAAGTTGTTAACCCTAAAATGACTTTTATCAAATGCTGTATACAGTTCTAGGGACATGCTGCAAACTTTTCATTACAGTAAGTCATAAAAGCATTTTTGACATGATTTATAAGATAAAATGTGTTTAGATTATGTATACATGCATTTTCTTAAGCAAAATGTCAGTTCTACTGCAGTGTGTATATATAATCATTTGCAGTTTTAAAGTTTAAATAAATGTAATAGTATGCATATGATTAATAAATTAGTTGGCTAGATTCTTTGCAAAGTCTATACAGCATATCAGATTCCTATTGGTATTATGTACAGGCTTTTAAGCCATTTGTTTTCAATAGAACACTATTCATAGAGTCTACCATTCATGTTGTTGATTGCTTGATTACAGAAAACCTGGTTGATCCAAACTGTAATATCAATGTAACTGTTAAAATGAAGGTTTTTTAAGATGGTTTATACTATTTAATTGTTTTGTACATGTATAACCGACCAATTAAGCCGATCAACTTGATGGACACCGCTCGTTGGGATGAACCAGGTTTCCGCGCATCTGTTATCTCTTGTTATGGATTTTACCTCTTGATTCTGAACAATAATTTCGTAGGGTTGTATTATTCATTATAGAATTTAGGAGAGCAATTTTAAAGCATTATCAGGTTATGCTGATGATGCTCACCTTAGGTTAAGCATAATTAGGGCATTATTTTGTAATTAATCCTTACTTTCCAAGATGAATTCAGTACTGTGCAATATGGGACTTGAGCCTTATTTGTTTATTATAGTCCCAGAGGGTATTGCAGTTCTGAAACATTCTAAAGAAGTGTTTGGATATTGCCAACAGAGACTATGTTGAGACTTGGTGTTTACTGCCATAGTGTATCTTTCCTCGATCACGGGGATTAGTCTTGCTATCTTCCCACACCCCGACATGGAGGCCTCAACAATAGCGTGCCCGACACTCGGAATGACGAGGGGCCGCCGATCCCAGCGCGACGTTTGGCCGCGGTTCGTTGACAGATCAAACATCTACTCGAATCCGTATTCCGAAAGGTATAGCCAAGCTGCTACACATGCACCAAAGAACCACGAGCAAGCAATAGCACAGCTTGGTTGCAGCATTAGAAAAGCGTTTGCCTCAGACAGGCCAACCCAGAAGAACAGTCTGATCCCAAGCTCATATATTGACATCTTTTTATCATCTATGCAATAAGGCAGTAATATGAAATAAACATTTCTCATTACTTGATTTTTTCTTTTCCTAACATATTTTGTAGTTATTTTTTTAAGTATTTTCGTCATTTCCTTTGAATTTTAACCCTTTTATTTCTGTGTGCTTGAGAACATGATATTTTATAAATGTTGCTCATCTCCTTTACTAAAAAATATTTCCTTTTCCAAGTTGGTTGCCAGCTGTCTCAACCACATTTGTACAAAGATGCTCCTAAAGGCTCTGCCCACTATACTAACTGCCCACCACCTTCCATTACCCTGCCCTCCTAACCACTACTTTACTCCCACCTCCTGCATCCTTTTCCCTTAATTATCACATTTATTTCCTATATTTTAACTGTGATGATGGTAAGTTTAGTGTGTGTGAAATATAGACAGAAGACATAGTCTTATGCATCCTTGAGACATTTTCCTCACCTAAATGGGATCCCTTCTCTCTCATCCTTCTGTAGGTTGATTGGTAATCTTAAGGGTCTGTACTTGATTGAAGTAATGAATTAATTATTATCATTGATGATAGGCTGTAATAGTCATAATGGATTAATATTTTCAGGGCATGACATGATGAACCTCCTGACTTATGACCTACTCGACCTACGACCACCTGCACTTATGACCTGCCTCAGTCGTACCAAAATTTTGTCAAATTACGTATTTTCGAGTCCCAACTTCAGTACACAGACTAAATTTTCGTTTGTTATTCACTTTAAAATGGCTGGCAAGCTTAAAAGTGAGAGTTTTGTGGTGCTGAGAAGAAAAAGAGACACCCATTTTAGATTTTCTATGTATTATTTAAGCATTTTCGACTTACGACCTGGATTTGGGTCTCTAACCCTGTCGTAAGTCAACCCCGTCGTAAGTCGGGGAGGAGCTGCACAGTAATATCTCCATTAGCCGGAATCTCTCACACCCGGAACTCTCCAATAACCGGAATTGAAATTTTTTTGTGGGGCACATTTCCCGGAAATTTCCGAAAAAATTTTCCCGATACAGTAGAACGTCGATTTAACGCGAATCGATTTAAGATTATTTCTTTAAAGCGACACCCACAACTAAGGACAATGTTTCAATTTAAAGCGAATCTTTCCTGATTTGCGCGAGTCAATCAAGGTGCATCAAATTTTAAATTTCGCGCCTAATGTTTCCCACCAGACACGTCTCTGGCCACGCTACACGGCTGTCCGCCACCCTCCCACACCCTCACTCATCCTCAGTTCTTGTACTGATGCATTAGTGAATGGACATACTGTGTGACACTATCTCTTCTACCACGTGTATCAACCATCACCATTATGTCCAAGAGGACAGCTACTACAGTATTAACTACCCCACAGGCAATCGATTATTCTGGAGCAGAAAATCAAGGTGCTGGAAGCATTGCAACGAGGAAATGGTGCTACAAGTGTGGGGCGCCAATTTGGACAGTGATGTGGATAATGAGCTGGTCGAGTTCGGCTCTGCTTCCTGTAGCCTTCCCAGTCTGCTTTTTGCATTTGGAAACGTGGGGTTGTTGGTACTTGGATTGGGCTTGTAGATAGTTTTATTATCATTGGAATGTGGTCACTGGTAGTCAGTGGTCCTTGTTTTATATGGTAATTCAGGAATGCCTTGTTATTGGTGAAGACTTTGTCTGGGGTTGTTGTTTTGTTGATGCCAATAAATGTGGTGAAGTGTGGTCCTAGGTGGATCAGCTTCCCTGTGTTCATTATGGTATGCAGTGCAGTGCCCACCCTGTTCCTGTTTCCGTGGCCGAATATTGGATGTCTTGGGTTCAGATCTTCTATTACATATGTTGGGCAGTTGTAGTTCAATAGTTTTATCAAGTCTGGGGCCGGTAGGTAGTTCCTTCTTGGCGGTAAATATGCTGTGGCTATTGCTATTTCTCCTAGTGTGGTAGTTATTTTGATTCCCAGGAATTCATCCTGGAAATCGTCGATGATTTGATGTTTGAGCAATGGCCACGCCATCATTTAATTCTTCTGTTTTATTTCTTTGGTAGGCTGTATATCCAAATATTTTTATTTTCTTGGAATTTGAATTGCCGAGACTATTTATTAAAATTATGTCCAGATCAATGCTGAGGTATGTGTTTGCAAGGTTGTTTTTATTTGTTTCCCAGTTGCGGACGTTGTGTTGTATGATGGTAAGTGTTCTGTGTTTGTCGTTATTCATTGTGTTTTGATTTTTTGTTTCTTGTTTGTTGCGCGGGTGGCGATCTCTTGTCCGGAACCAGTCCGTTACGGATTCTTTGGAATTTCCAGTGTTCTTCTTTTTTGAAATTGTGTCTCCTTATTTTAATTCTTTGGTTTATCAGATAAGCTTCCACTAGTGCTTCTGAGTATTTTTCGTTAGAGTAGGTCCATTTTAGTTCTTGTTTCGTTATGGCTTGTATAATGTCTGGCATCGTTTTGCATTCCCTAGGGACTAATATTTTGTCACACCAGTGAATCTGTAGTTCACAGTCGTCTGCATAGTCTAAAGTCAGGAGCGTTTCCTCGCCCTGAGTATCCATGGTTGCTGTTGTGACTTTTTTCCTTACGGCTCCTGTCTCTCTTTGGATGGTATTTTGAAGGTCCTGCTTCTCTACTGTACTTTGAGTGGATGTTTCAATCATTTGTGACTTTGCCTTGTCAGCTTCGTTTGTTTCGTGTACTGTTGCGGCTGGTGTTTGCTCTGCTGCTCCTTTTTCTTCTGCGTTGACTGTCTCCTGTGGTGCATCTGGGTTGGTTAAGCTGGACGCTTGTAGCACAGATCCGGAAGCTGGGTTCGCTGGGAAACTCATTGTTGAGAGATTGTTTCTTCCAATCATTTTGTTCATTTCTATTTCGGTTGTGCCTGGGTTCCCTATGTTCATTATGTGAGAGTATAATAGGCAGATGAGCACTTTGTAGTCTCGTATTTCGCTCAGTACAATTTTGGTGGTATTCTGTGGTTGTGTTGTTTCTTCAACTACTTTCTTTGCAATAGCAGCATATGTTGTATTCTCCTTCTGTTCTTGTTGTCGTTTTTCCGTTGCTACTTTTTCATTAATTATTTTCTTTTTGTATGAACAGGCCATTGCTAGGGTTCTGTGGGTCTTATATCCTGGCTCCTTCCGATTTTTACAGTTTATACATGCTTTGGCTTGATTCTTGCAGTCCCGGAAAGTATGGCCTTCTTCTGCGCATTCAGAGCATATTTTAAGTTCCTTCTGAGGACAGTCTTTTTTTGTATGCGATTCATGTGTATAGCAGATAAAGCAGGTGAGAATATTAACGTATTTCTCCCTTCCTAGTTGCTTAGGGAGTACTGACAGGTTGAACCCTAAGATTCCAGATTCCAGGGCCTTGTCTGCTATTCAAGAATCAGTGAATCTCAACTTTAAGCAATGTGTGTATTGCTTTATTTTTACCACTTCTTCGACTTTTAACCAGTTGTTTTTTATTTCTAGTTCTTTTATTTCTTGTGCCGAGTGCTTTCCAAATTCGTAGTCAAGTCCGCGTACAAATACTGATCGTTTTGCTTTAACCTCTGGTGGCATGATGACCTGGAGTCCTATGCCTCCAAAGGCTTGCATTCCCTCAGGGCTCAGAATGGTATCTGCGTCCCTGTAGTCCCTGCATATTGCAGTGTATCCATCGTTGGATGAGAAAATCCTTGTGAATGGTACATTGAGTGTACCATACGCTGTTTCAGTTATCTGAGAACGTGAAGGGGCTGTTCTCTTGTCTATGATCTTGAGCCTAACCTTGGTAGCCATGGTTTCTTTGTTTGTGTCTTCCTAGCATGTATTAATTGTGGGTGATAAAGAAGGTTATTCAAGACCCTTCTTAGTGTACCTATAGGCGACCTTCGGACAGTGGTGTAACTGCACTATCACTGTTTTTCCATTGCCGGATTGGCCTGTGTTCCCCCGACCTCCAACGGACACACACAATCCCACCTACTGTGAGGTGTGCTCCACTGGAGGGGCTCTAGCACGAATACTTAAATATAAGCAGGTGCCTCGGCCAGGGTAAGTAAGGAAGGATTTCAGCAAGAGAGAAAGACCTCAAACCTCGTCAGTACTGCCAATCAATAGCTGCCTTCCAACAGGAGTGTGGGTCACTCACTCTACCCGTGGGGAGGGGTAACTAGGGTTGACAATCCTGAACGTTCGTGAGGTAGTCCGGTGGCAGTCGTGGTCGTTTTCCAAAGGCGGAGGCCCCCAAGGGGCGTTGCCCCAAACAGGATTTCTGGGAAGTCCAGTGGTAGACAGAGTGGTCGAGTTGTAGTCCGGTCGTCAACAGTAGAAAGAAGGCTGGCTGCAAAAGAATAATACAATACACACACCCAACAAAATCTATAATCAAAATAGATCTATTCGGCACTATCTCAAAGGAAACAGGAAACAACCCCGACACGAACCTCGCACATTCCCCCCTCCCCCCCAACTCCCCCACACACAGTCATGTTATCGCCCTTCCCCCACCTACATATACCACACACAGATCACGTTCACAGTCACTCGACAACTTAGATATCATCGCTGCACCCCCAAATTTCAATCTCATATAAGTAACCCAGAACAAACCAAATACATCCACACTAACATGATCACCATTATGCAATTCAATTGTAGAGCAAATCATTCAAACAGACACGTAACTTCCCCGTAACCATATCCAACAACTTCCCTCGAAATTAAACCAAACACCTCTCCTAACTAACACCCAACCACTCCCCTCTAACCTAACCTAACCTAGCCTTACCTGACTTACCCAACCTTTGTAACCTGACCCTGCCCCAGCTATACAGATCAACCACCTCCCTCCTCGCCCCGCTCAATCAAAACCCCACTCCCCCCAAACTCACACCCAAACACCATTCCTGAGTAAAGCCCTACTCAACAATGTTAAAAAAAAAAAAAAAACTATTTTACTCAACCTGCACTAACACACCCCCCCTCCCCAAAAAAAAAGAGGAAAAGAAAAAACCCTAACAATCCCCCCAAAATAAAAACCTAACATACCCAGCCTTTACTAGCAAGCCC